TGAAATCTCACACACATACTGTTTAAGAAAAATACATAAAATCAAAACTAAAATTCCAAATGCTACTGTTTTCATATTCTTGTCATTAAAAATAAGAATCTGTTCTGAAGATATTTAAAACTAAGTTTTAGTGGAACAGAAAAAGCAACTTACCACTTCATTTGGGTGCACCAAAAAGAGATAAATTCCTGGATATTTTTCAAAGACCTGAAAGGAGCTGTGACTTTGTTCCATTCTACAGAGCACTTCTACACACAGCTCACCTTAAAAGATAAACACAGAGTAAGGACTCCTTTATATGCTCACAAAACAACAAAAAAATCATTTAGTGTAAGAATAAATATTTTATATACACACATACACATTAGTACTTCAGTTTAACTATTTGCTAATTTCACCTCCAGTAGAAACAACACCATTCCCTTCCAACTGTATTCGGTAAGATACATACAGACTTTCTCATGCAGCAGCAGATACGGATATTTCAGTATTTCTAGAAGGGGCACTCGCAGGTTATTCTCAAAATCTGGGCCCACATAACCAGACAGCTGTGTGTCTCCATTCTCATCCACTATAAACAACTCATCATCTTCTCCAGCTTCAGCTCGCATAGATTTCTCAATGTGGGCAACAAGACGGGAGGTTTCCAGCTCCCACAAGACCTATTCAGTGGAAAAAAGTAACTAATCAAAGTGCGTTTGTGAAGAAAGTGATTAAGGACATTTATTATTGCACGTAGAAACCTTAACTAGACTTTCAAAACTTAGAATTTCAACTCTCACTTCACAGTCAAGATTATAAAGTAATTTTTAAAAGAGTCGCATTGAAACCAGAAGAATTTTTTTAATTGTTAAATACTCATAAATTGTTTCAATAACTATTTCAGGCCATAGGTTAGTCACAAAACAGTTCCACTGGCCAATATAATGTATTACCATATTTAAGCAGATGGGAAAAGCAATTTTTAGATCTTGACGTGCCGCGTATTTTGAAGTGTGTTAGTGGAAGGAAGTCAATGCAAATAATGCAAGCAGACTGATTGACTTGCTGAGTATCTGCAGGGGATTCGGCTCACTTAACATTACTCATCTACAGTAACTGCTCTAAACCTCAATTAGAAACCAAGGTTATTTCCTACAGTTAACGGACACAGAAGGGAACTTTCAACACTTATTACCAATCTATACTGAGATGGGTTGCCCTCCAGAGAAGTTTAGCTGACTAGTTTAAAGACCAACCTTTTACGATCTGTATTACGATCGATTAGCTACAAATATTCATTAGACATACATATACACATAAGGGAAAGTATGTTTTCCAAAATACAGAACTGGTTTATAATAACGGAGAATTATAAAAGGCTTAGAGTAAAATGAAGAATTTTAAAACTTCTTCCGTATTTTTTTAACTGCACAATCTCACAGGCTTGCAAGATCAGATCGCTGAAACTCAAGCGTAGTAAACTACAAATGAAAAATGAAAGCAATCAAAAAGAGGAACAAACTGAAAGCTGATTGGATGCCAGAGGAAGGAACTACATTAA